TAACTAATGGCCAGGAACAGGGCTTACCCAACATGTCAAATACTATAGATTGAGAATCCAAATCTTCATCTTTTATCTCCTTTGTCAATGGGGAAACCAGCTTCCTGCTACTAGAGAGAGAGTCAGCTTAAACCTTCATGTTCCTCAGACACCAGTGTGAAACAGGAGCTGTGGTTGGGACCCTAGAGAAAGAAGTTCAGAGCTAGCCTCCTGAACCCCTTAGTCTTTATGAGCTTTGTTGAAAGTGAACACTGCACGAGGGTATGTAAAATCAGAGACCCCACCATGTGGTCGGAACTCCTTGGGGAACGATCATGCCTACCAGCAATGACATGTTCCTAAGGGAGCAAATGGACTGGATGGATGGTTCCTATAACTCCTCCATGAATTGTCTGCCTCACAGGTTTCCCTTGCCTACACAGCATTGCAGACTTTCAACACTGGGGTGTGTGTGTGTGTGTGTGTGTGTGTGTGAGAGAGAGAGAGAGAGAGAGAGAGAGAGAGAGAGAGAGAGAGAGAGCTCCTCTTCTTCTAAGAAGAGTCTGATGATATTACCATATTAGCCAGACTTTACATCACTTTCTCAGGAGTGGAGAGACTCATGCGCTACAGTTCTGCATAACAGACTGCAGTGTAGAAGTGAGGGAGCAGGGCCGGTTTCAGCTCTAAACCAGTTTCAGCACTAGCCTGTCTCTACCCCAGGGGGAAATTCTTTTCCAGCTTTAGATCACGTACCACCTAAACCTGTGCAGTTAATTCCTATATGTGTTTACTCAGAAGTAAACCCCACTGCATTTAATACCTCTCACTGCCTGCTCAGGGGACTGCAACTGTAATTACTTCCTGAAATCATGTTTGTAGAAACTCAGAAATCTCTAAAGCAACAGGCTATGGACAAAGTGGAATATGTAACTGAAGTCTCATAGCAGATGAAATCCACATTCTTGCTATGAATGCAGTTTTGCCTCATTGGTTTTGCAGTTGGAATCCATCATCAAAGTACAGAGTGTTCGGCTGGAAAGTGATGCCACCCATAGGACAAACTGCAGCACTTTCCACCCTCATGATTGCCTCTCCATTTTTCTGCAGTAACTCTGAGGCTCCCTTGGAAACTGTGTTCCTGTTGGTTGTTTTTCAGGTGATCAGTCTGTTTCCAGCCAATAGCTGAAAGCTGTAGCAGCGATATCATAATCATTAACTATTGGATCATTACCTGATCCAAGGCTATTGCTGCAGTAGAGGTGCCCCTCCCTTTAAACTCTGGAAAAATACCACATATTATATAAAAGTACAGTCACTTTATTAAAATATAGTGGACTTTCCAACTGACCATACTGTCTGCCTTTTATGGTAGCATACATAAGGGAAATTTAAATAGGTAAGGCTTGATGCCAAGATAGGAAAATATTCACCTATTTAAATTATCTGTGTTAGGTAGTTGTTCCAGCAAATACAGGAGTGAAACCACTCTAGTCACTCCTGACCTTCTACAGTCAAGCACATTTATGATTATGTTATATTATGAATGGCTAGAAATCAATAATATACAAACAACACCCTTCCAAGCCCCCTGTTATGCTACCTGAATTTAGATTGTGAGTTACTTGGAGCAGGGCCTATCTATCTATGATACTCTGCAAATCAGTATGTGCACAGATGTTATAGTAAACACTACTCCTCCGTTACTACTAATAATTGCATGATATTGTTTACAGTTGGCTGAAACAATCAGTTAATCAGCAAGATTAAGCTGTTAAACTTTTTCATGGCTTAAAAGAGTGCTGTTAATTAATGAAACAGTGGATTTAATATGTACCTTTTTCTAAATTCAAGTATGCAAAACAAAGAGAACAATGATGATGGCAACTGTAGGTGGCACACACCATTTAGAAGAGCTCTCTCCCTTTCCCTGATACTTACAGCACAATCCACCACCCTCACCCACATCAGATGCATGGAAGCCTTACCTGCACCAGTGACCAGAGCAAGATGTGGCAGCAGCAAAGTCTGTCTCTACTGTCCCTCAGCCCATGGTTTTTACCTGAACAGCCTTTAGTGACTGTCTAGTTAAAGCACCACGGAGGGGAATATAAGGCGACTGGGGCAAGGGCAGGAATCAGCATAAGAGAACAGCACCTGCCTCCACCTCTCCCTTTTCCCTGGCACATTCCTTTCCCTCTCCTCCAAGTCTTGGAGAGTCAGGAAGTGCCATTCTTTCTGTAGCAGCTGTGAGGGGGCATGACTGGAGTTTTGCTGTGGACGTCTGGGCACCAAAGTTGGAGACCGACAGCACAGTGACTCTAAAGAATGATATGGTCCTTCCAGATAATTTAAGGAGGACATAGGATTTCATCCTGATTAGTTTAAGTATTTATATCCCATTTTTTCAGGCAAATTGCTTCCACAAAGTGGCTTACAATATAACCAAATAATACTACGTTTTGAGACAATGTCATCATATGAACACATTAAACTTCAGTCTCGGGACGGAGTGCATTTCCTATCATTTGTTCATGTGTCAATTAAAAACAAAGCATCCACCCCTTTTACAATAGTTGTTCTATTAGTACATACTTGTGTGACAATTCATACATCAAAAGCATGCAATAAATAAATAAAGATATCTTTAATCAGGTGTTAGCTGAAATAGAGATGCCTAAGATGAACAGAAGTATTCAGTCCCTTTCAATGTTCCGATGTGTGTGTATCCATATGTACATGATTAAAATGGTAAATTCACAAACAAGGAACTGATACAGTTCAAGACAACATACAACACTACAGAAGTCTGATTAACAAAGCCTATTCATCCACTCAGGGTGATAATACACAATGCATTATGCTTTAATGTGACAGCAACTTTTTATTTTATATATATCAGACACATTAAAGTAATTATATGTGGCAGTATACCTAGACAGGGGATAAATTGATCAACTTAAACATCATAATATTAAATTAACGGAAGTGTGATCAAACATCATTGTCCTTCCACTAGAGGGCACCCTGAGTAAAATGTTTTAATCACAGGAACTAAATATTTGGAACATAGCAACAGGGGCTCATTTTCATTGAGTAATTATGTTTCTTAAAAGCATATTTTTCTTATGCATAAAATGATCAAATTTAGAATGCTCATATAAGTATATTCCTGCTTTTCATAAATCTGCACTATAAATGTTGTAAGAAATTTAAAAACAGTGTTTTTGAAGGATATAATATGTTTATTTTAGAAGGGATTCTAGTAACCTTCAGATTTTCTTTTCCTTGCTGCCTTCTCTCTCTGCAGGACAATAGCCCTTGCAGTTTTTCTAAGTGAATGGAAATGGTTTGATTATATTTGGAGAACCAGAACCAAATACAGCCATGACAGTTTGGGCCTATTGTATGTGAATGTATAGGGCAGGGGAATTGATTGATTTTATATATATATTATGGAAACACACATATACCAAAGATAGGTATGAGATTACTCCCTATCATATAAACCTTGCAGGCTACATAAACATCACACAAGCTCTTTCCCATGCATGCCACCCCCAAATCTATTCCATGACCCCCTGCAACTTTCTGGAGCAGATTTGAGGGTGCACCCAGGTGAAGCTGTAGGGGGAGTAGCAATCCATTTCACCACCATTGTTCATTTTGCTTCTGGACAGATGCCACTGGATACACCTCCATATAATATTACATTCATATGGTAAACATCTTTCCCACTCCTATCAATAGACAGAAAATATATAATCTAAGGTTTAGGTCCACCATCTTTGGGTTACAGACTTTGCTAAACCTCAGGGAACCTGCTGCTTTGTCTACATGCCCTGTTTAACTCCTTAAAAGGAAAAAAGATGCTAGGCAGGAAGTGTTCGATTAATTTTGCTACACTGCAGAGATGCTGCTCAAATGCACTGTGGAGCGTGCACTGCGCAACTGGGTCAGTCTATGCGTCAGGCAAGGGAGTCAGACATGGGCATCCAAAAGTTAATTGTCAGCGTCTCGTAAGCCCCCACCCCTGCCCCGTTCTCTCTGAGAAGTATACTGCTCTCTGGAAAACCTGGAGATGGAGAGACCTTGACTCGGCTCTTGTTTGGTTTCCATGGCATCCACTTTTCATTGACTTCATTGTAATGAGTCCGCCCAATTCCCTAGAACATTGATGGGGAAGAAAAGCTTCCAATTGTGCTCTCCGTGGTGCTGAAAACAACCCCGAGCCCGCTGCGCTCATACGTCTCTGTCTATGGTGCTGAAATCGCTTCTGAAGACACGGGTGCGAAGGGGAGGTGGAGAAGGGCTGCCAACCCTCGCTTCGTGTGATCTCCAGGTCTACTTGAGATTATTTTTCCAGCACTGGCGCAAGTGACTGATGCTTTTCACACATGCAATTCTAGTGCTGCCCGATACAGAGTTTGTAGCACAATGATCGGGGATTTACCCACACTGTTGTGAAGTGGACATCCTCTTTTGAAATCTACTATGTGTGAAGACTCCCTACCTCTACGTATTCCAAATGTAAGAAAATAGCCATCATTAAACCGGGATTTTACTCACACAGCGGACTTTCAACTAAAGCATTTTTCTTTTTTGAACTATCCATGGCTCCTCCTTCACCTTTTGCTAGTGGACCTTGCATCTTCAAGAAGACCTTCTAGTTGAGTCTCGCAAGCTGTGTTCTGTTAAGAAATCAGTGGACTGCAGGTAGACACTAGTCACCTCTCTTTCTGGTGCTGGCGCTGGTGCTGGCTTTTTCTTTCCTCTTTACCCACAGTCACACATACACACGTACACAGAGTCAGTCTTCCCCTCTCTCCCTCTCCCTTCTCCCTTGTCTCTTTCAAATACACGCACACCTGCACAAGCTGCAGACACATCTCTTTATCTGGATGCACACCAATAGCCATTTTATGGAGAAAAGTTAGACATGAAAACAATATGAATCAGTATCATCGCTTGTAACAGCACCCTGATCAACTGAGCGAGTGCCAGATAAAACCTTTACAGGAATGGAGTCGGTAAAGCAAAAGGTTTTGACCCCTGGCAAGGAGGGGCTGAAAAATTTCGCAGGGAAATCTCTCGGTCAACTCTACAGGTAAGGAATGGAATCTTTGGTGGGCATTTTTTAAAACTACAAATAATATGAAGCTTCTGAAGCAGATTCACACCTTATATGAATATGAAATAATACAAATTTTTAGCTGGGTGGCTCATTAAATGCTAAATGTATGTTTTCTTAGATTTTGCTAACAAGAGCTGAAACTTCAACTGGATACTACCATTTTGGCATTTGATTTAAGGATTTAATGCTCTTCTCCTAAACATTTCTGTATCTAAATAAGGACAATTGGTTTCATTAGAAATTGCATCCAAACCACAGCCTTCAAAATCATGCCAGTGTTAGGTGATGTATCCTTTTATTTAATTCTATGTACTTGGAGCTGAACATTCAGGGCAATGTAGTCAAGACTGTTGTATATTTGAAATATATGCATGTATGTAGGTATCCAGTTTACTATGTATTTGCAGTGCTAGTTCTCCTCCATTTTCCCCCTAAAGGACAAATAAGCACAATTTTCAATTTGGATTTCCCATTCCCCTGTTTACTCACCCTTCCTTTGAAGAAAAACATGGAGATGCATAAATAATTGATCATCTAATGTCTTTTCCCCGGAAGATGCAGACAGAGGGGAGAATATAAGGCAATATAAGGATTAAATATAAATCCTCTTGTTGTATAATCAGCACATACATGTACAAAAGGGAAAGCCTGAAAAATAACCTCGCAAACATGTGAATTCCTATGAATAGGATGCCAGTGGGATGTCATAATACTGGAGGTTTTCCTCTGAAATAAGCAAAATCCAAAAGGAAAACCATTGGCCATTATTTCATATTAAACACAGCTCTAATGCTGATTCTAAGAGCGACCACTTTCTCTTGTGCAGAGAGTAGGAGGCTAATACCTGCAGAGGAAGGTCACCTTTGGGGTTCTAAGCAGTTTCCATCACAGCAGTCTTAGCCCGCTAAAAATGCTCCAGATTAAGGTGCTCCAGATTTGCTTGCAATGTTTACAAAATGAGGGTTGCAGTGATTTATAATCCAAAAGACATGCAGAGATTTCGATATGGATTCCTTAAAAAAAAAAACTTAGAGAAAAAGAAGGAAGAAAAAGAAACAGCCCGGGCACCTAAACTTTGTTTGAAATCAAATGTATTAATGAAATCTAATAATCTGAGGTACAATCAAGCATGTACCAAGTTCAAGTTTCTAAGAACTTTAGAAAAGGCATTTTCTTCATTTTTCTTAAAAAGCCAAATATTGTGGTAATAGAATAAATTAACCCTGCAGATGCTTAATTTCACACTAGTGTTCAATGGAAAAGCAAGCATGCTTCTCTACTGTTGGTTTTGCATTGAAGCAATTCCATTAGTATTTGGATGCTTTTATTTTCTTTGCTTCCTTCCTAAGTAATCAGAAAGAAGTAGAGGGAAGGCTTTTCCACATCCTTGATAAAGTTGGAATTGCTTATTTGATGTTCTGCTCTGCTCTTGCAGTGAATGGCAGATTTTCTCACTAGTACAAAAGTAACTTGTAATACCCAGATTAGCTAGCAAAAGAATCTGTGAATTAAGATATTGTTAGTTATTTCGACTAAGGATCAAACTGAGTACCTGCTCAGCTAGAGAATAAAGGTGTGTCTGCAAATGATGCTGATCCTAAAAAGCACTCAGTCTTGCTCCTGCTTATGAATTGGTCCATCTTTACTATCATTTCTCTCAGGAGTTAACGTCACCAGTTCAAAATTGTTAAGGAGGGGAAAATTCCTTGCAATAGGAGCTTGGGCACAAAAAGCATGGGGTGGGGTGTTGGGGGGGGGGAGAAAGAAAAAGAAGAAGAATGAAGGGAGGGAGGGACGGACAAATGTTTCCAACACATTTCCAATCACTTTTTTCATTTCTTTTTTTGGAAGGGGAATTATTTCCATGGAAAAATCATTGGAAATGAATGAGGGCACACCATAGAAACATATCAAATGAATGCCAAAACAATAGAACAATTCGATCAATAAGAGTTCAATCCACTATGTAAATATGCCATGCAAGCTTTGATAATTTTCCATATTTTTCTTAATATTAACCAGGCAGGATGAGCAGAGAATGTAAACTTCTGTCCGTAAAAGGGTTTGCATATTTTCATCCCCTTGACATACTGAAATACTGTGAACTTCTCAACGGAACACTAATTTTTAAAAGAAAGAGAACGGAATCTGTCAAGGCTCCATTCCTATACACACTTACCTGGGCATAAACCCCATTAAACTCAGTGGTGCCGCCGCCAGGGGTGTGATTTTCAAGTAGACAGCTTAGAATTGTGCTGTTCAATGTTCAGAGCTTTTAAAAGATCCAAGTACATCATATGTGAAATGGGAGGCATCCCCTTATAAATGCATTTATCAAGACAGGTATGTGTAGCTGAAATGCAGGACTGGTTTCTTTTACTGGAAGCATGGGAGACAGCCATTTTGAGCTCTGGAAAAGATCCAGACACCTGCCATAGTTGAAAATAGATCATATTTCCTCATTCAGCGAGGCTCACTGGGATGCATGGGCTTGCATTCTTCCTTCTGGTGTCTGTCACGCAATTAGAAGACAGTTAACATATTCCCTAAGTTAACGGGGTGTGTGAGTGGATGAATCTTCCAGTATGTATTCAACTTGAAGCGAGTCAATATGGCGTCTCTGCATTCGAAGAAGGACGTGATGAATAGTACTTTATATATTTTCTAACAAATCCACGAGGAATAGAAAATATCGTTTGGTGCTATCTCCTTGAATCACTTTGTGATACCCATACAAGACTTAATTTAAACAGAGCAGTATGTGTGTGAACTTCAGTGTGTCTAAATCACGCTGTTTAGAAGTCAGCTACATTGGTGTGTGTGCGTGTGGGAGGGGGGCGCTTGACTGTGGTCATCAGCAAGGAGTGCATTCTGTACGTGCTCAGAGGCCCGTCTTTTATTCACCCACAGCTCTCAGTGAGACTTTGACCTGAAAGTAGGTTTCAGGAGAGTTGCGTGGTTCTGATAAGCCCCAAAACACACACACACACACCTCTTTTGAAAGGGGATTTTCAATAAACCTGCGCACTGTACAGGTAAACTCACTCTACAAGAGGTTTTTGGAGGCCGGTGACTGAGGTATCTTCTTTGGTTGGGCAGAGTCCTCGAGAGGAGACAGAAGACCAGCGACAACATCGAACTGACGGAAGATGGGAAGCCCTTGGAGGTTCCCGAGAAGAAAGCGCCCTTGTGCGACTGCACCTGCTTCGGGCTACCCCGGAGATACATCATCGCCATCATGAGCGGACTGGGCTTCTGCATCTCTTTCGGGATCCGCTGCAACCTGGGAGTTGCCATCGTTGATATGGTCAATAACAGCACCATTCACCGAGGAGGGAAAGTCATCAAGGAGGTGAGCTAGTCCTTGGCAGAACTGCCTTCCGCATCAGACCCCGCTCGTACCAGGGATGACTTCCAAACGCCCTTCAGGCGCGCAGACAGCCATGTTAGGACGTGCGCTGTGGAGGCGATCGGGGCTCCTGCCTGATCCTTCTCCTCTAAGGAAAGGAAATCCGAACCAAACGGACACAGTAGAGACGAAACACACGAGGCTGGGGAGGTCGTTTGCCCCTTGCCTTCTTTCCAGAACCGTAACTCCTTCCTTCAAATCTCATGTTTTTATTTCCACATAACAGAACTGAACATGGCCCAAGAAGGGCCGTTTGCTCTTGTCTGTCTTTACTTGTAATCCCTCACCCCTTCCAAGGAGCTCAGGGCAGCTTGGGGTTGCTTCCTCCATGTCATCTTCACCACACCCCAGCGAGGTAGATTAGGGTGCGAGAGGATGGCCGTCCCTAGTGATGGCCCGAGTAGCAGGGCTTTGAACCAAGGTGCTCCACATCCCGAATAAAAGATGCAGGCTCCCCACGCAAGCTGCACCCCTCCCCCAGCATTCCGCTTAGATTTCAGAAGACAATGTTCCTTTCGAATTGAAGGAGCCTAGACCCCACCTTCCAGGAGAGTTCAGACCCAGACGTAGCCCCAGGCAGAAAATCAGAAAATCACGGGACAATGCTTGCTGCTCTTCCCAGACTCTCTGTGATTTCTGTCCAACTGCTATTTTAGCTCCTTACATGTATTCAGTAAGTATTCAAAGTACATGTATACTTTCTTGTTATTACCCAGAGCACCAAAAAAACTCAAAAAAGGATGTGAAAAGCTTGAGTTGCTTTTGGGGAAATGAGGAAATCACAGGGTGTTGATTTATTCCTAGATTATCCATTTTCAAAAAAGCAAAAACCAAGATAAGTGGGAGGTGAGGAGAATGTTGTTATGAATATGATGAAGGGCAGGAAAAGCTATACTAAGCTGAGAGTGTGGTAGGATAAAGCAGGAGAAGGAAGCAGCCGGACAGTTGTGCACTACTGGAAGCCACAGTTCAAGGGCTCAGCTGGAAAAAAAGAGAACAAGTGAGAACAAGACCTAGTAAAGAAGCAGCCCTATACAGATTTAGTCAGTAAAAAGGCTCACAACCCCCAGTATATCCCAGGCTACCACATGGCCTGGGAGCTGTAGGCCTTTTTCTCCCTAAACTTGCATAGGATGGCAACCTGAGCTATTTCTGTTGATTGTACCAGGAGCATCATCCTCAAGTACATGAAATGGTTCACCAGTTAACCCTTCTCTCCCCAAAGCAACACCCACAACCATGAATTCATTCGTTCATTCATTTCAAAAAGCATTCAGATTCAAACCACCAGGGGCAAAGCACAATATCTCTACCATGAGAGAAAACTGGGATGGAAATTTGGGATGGGATGGTGGCTTCTGAAAATGATTTTTGGCCCTAACCCCCTCAGTTCCCAAGAGATGAGTTAATCGTCTGGGGATCGTTCTCTTGACCAGGGTGACAGAAGGCTGAAGGGGAGAATTGGCAGACTAGCCAGAATTGGGCATCATGACTGCCCCTCCTCTCTCAAACTACCCCACTTCGTACATCCAGGATATAGGATTCTCGCATTTCATAACTATAACAGTAGCAATCAAGAATATATATAGTTTGCAGGGTCCTTGGCAACTGGGCCCCCAAAATGCTCCCTATTTCCGCAGCAACCTGTGTTTATGGAGAATTTTTGTTCGTGGCAGGGTACAGGGAAAACACATTCATATACCGCGGCTAGCGAGGGGCAAGTGCGGGAAATTTCCGGGGCCTTCCCCAACTGCGCCCTGCCCTTCAGAAAAGCCTTGCTCCAGCCAGCTTTTGCAACCCATCTTCCTTCTCTTCTCTCTCTTTGCCTGCTCGCTTTGGAAGAAAGCGAAGTTCAACTGGGACCCGGAAACAGTTGGCATGATCCACGGCTCTTTTTTCTGGGGCTATATAATCACGCAGATCCCCGGGGGATACATTTCATCCAGGCTGGCAGCGAACAGGTAATGCCAAGCTAAAATCTCTTTTGCGCGTGCGGGGTGCCAGCAGACAAAGAGCCCGGCGCCTGCCCCGCCGTACCGTGTTTTGGCGAGGACTCGCGTCTGCAGGAAGGCAGCCAGACCAAGCGAGGAGGCAGAGGCGCCGCAGCTGACCTGTTGGCTCGGGGTGCCTTCCCTTGTTGCTGCACTAAGCACCCCGAAAGGGAACAGACTTGTGTTTCTCTCGGAAATCCAGAGGGGCAACACAACAGAGCCCCCACCGCGTGCGCCTCCCCCCCGCGCCAGAGATTGTTGAGGGAGGAAGGGACTGAGCCCTCCATATTCTGATTTTGCAAGCCAAGCTTTTGCAGAGCGTATCAATTGTTGCCTGCGAATCTATGGCTCTGGGCGCGATCCTATGCCGGTTTAGACTGGGTGAAGTCCTACAATTCCCAGCATTCCCCTGCCGGCTGGGAGCTGTAGGACCTCTTTCTCTCTAAACCTGCAGACGTTTGTATCATTAATCTGTGCAGAAGAGGGATTCGCTGTCAATTCTCAGGCAGCTCCGCCTGAGACCGAACCTTCTCCCATCCAGTGGTTCGCTGCCCGCTTTCACGTGAAATAGAGAAGCCAGGCGCAAACGAATGCAGGGCTTCTGCATCGACCTGTCTCCTCTTCTATGAGACCATTAAAGATGGAGCCCTGTCCTTTTCTTTGCGTCTAACGTCCCTTAGGGTTGGAGTAAAATCCAACTTTTCAAGTGCCTCTTCGTGGCACGTCGACCCCCTGCATCGTTTCTCAGAACGAAGTCCAATTAGCTTTAATGAGATCTGTCTCCAAGGAAGGTGCGTAGGACTGCAGCCTCGACTCCTTGCTTTTATTCTTTAAAGGGCGCCATTTATTTATTATTTCAATTCAGAGACCGTCTTTCTCCATATAGCACCCAAGGCAGCTCAGAACAGCAGCGACAGGAAAAATGTGCTTCACAGCCCAGTTGAAATAGTTTGATCACCGAAGACAGTCAAAAATCAACTTTGTCTTTGAGCCCAGTGTTTCAAGGGAACGAAATGGACGTTCGCACCTTCGAATTAATTGTATTATTACTGTATTAGATACTGATGGTGTGAACCACTGTGGATATCCCGTGGACGAAATTTTTACAAACTGAGAGTATAGTGGTGATGGTTGTTGCTGTGTCCAGATATGATTGTGCTGTTGTCGTAGGAGTTGTTGCAGCTTATCAAGATCTTATTCCTAAATGAAAGTCCTGATTTTTAAAATTGTCTCTAAACCTTATGTATCTCTCATGTGCACGTATCGCTGATGCTTCTGAACTGGAGTGTATTTCTTTCTGGGCTTCTTTGCTCGTTCGAACCAATCTTCGTCTGGTTCTTTCGCGTTTTCTCTTCATTTTGCATTTAATGGAGGAGAAAGTCCACTCGTCTGCACAGGTTACCCGCGTAGCGATTTATTTTCTGTCTGCGCTGCTTTAATGCTTGGTGCAGGGTTGAGTACTTTTATGTATTACCTCCCCTTTTTGAAACAAGCAAAGAAAGAAGCTCTCTATCGCTCAGATTAAAAGCGCGTGCTGTTAATGGGCCCACGAACGCACGGGAGCCGGGAGCCTTCTGGCTGAAAAGCAGGAGGAAGGGAAAGCGGCTTCTGAGAGCTTTGCACAATGAAAGGGACGTGCAGATGGCGCGGGGTCTTAAGGCTCCGTTTCTATGGCGTCTGGCAAGGAGGCTTCAGGCACCCAGGGGGTGATGCTACCTGTTAATTAGATCCTCGGAGTATTCCGGGCGCAGGAGGCGTTCGGAGGCATCCACTGACCCACCGCCTCCGCCTCCGCCTGCTGAGGAGGAGAGGCCACCGGTCCTAGCGCCGCTCTCGGGCGCAGCGCTCGGCTCGCCTCGGCTGGGCGCCCGGGGCGCTCGAAGGGCTCCGCCCTGGCGGGCTGGCGGGGACCGGCTGTGCCGGAAGCCCGTCGGCGCCGCGCGTTGCTTGGCTTGCAGCGGAGTCCTCTGGAGGGAGCGCCTTTGCAGAGCAAGCCGATCGCCCGCGGTAGGGGCAGGCCCATTCCTCTCGCCCCCGCCTGCAGCCATCCAGGCCGAGGAGGGGCCTGTTTGGTTGCCCCGATGCCTCTGGATTGGGGTGGTTCGCCGCCGCGCTAAAGCGCCCCACCTGCCCGGAGAGCCTCGCGGGGTTAATGCAGAAAGCGCCATTCGAAACGCCGCCTGAGGCCGGCTGAGCCATGGGTGGTGCAGGAGGGAGCGCGCAGAGGCGGCCGTCGTTTCTCGCTCTTGCTGGCCGCATCTCCCAGTTTACAACCAGGCTTGGGGCTAATTAGGGGGGAAGAAATCAGAGTGGAAACTCCATCAGAACCCTTACAGTTTCCCCCGGGATTTGTAGGTACACGGAGGAGAGGTGCAAGCCAGCAATTAGGCTGACTTTTCGAGGGGAGGGGAGGGGAGGAAAATAGGGCTTATTTTAGTTCAAATACTTTCAATGCCGCCTTTAAAAGAAGAGCCCTCTCCAGGCGGCATACAAGATAAACGCACATGAATGTACCGCCTTGTATCCCGAGTCTGGGTCACGCCTGGGAGAAGGCGGGGTACTTGTTTCCCTTGGAAATCAATACACTTCTAGTCGCAGCTAAATCCTGGCCTAGTCCAGACCATGGACCTCTATCTAGATCAGGAAAGAAACTGGTATTATTCATTTATTGTGGCATTTCCACTCCCCCTAAGAACCAACGTTCTCTGGGAGGGCTATAATCATTTTTGGCAGTAATTCTACGCCAAGGTCATTTACCTGGAATTTCCCAGTGGGAGGCTATTGGATGAAACTGCGAGGCATCCCAACGGGAGAGGGTGGAAAATGTCTGAAAGGGTGGAATCCCAGCAATTGTAGCTACAGGACAAGACCTTGCAGCTTCAACTCGCATTCACAATCCAGTCCAACCGACTTGGAAAGGCAACGCGCCGCGGGGTGGTAGCCCATTTACTCAGAATAAGACTGAGTCCTCTGGCTTTTGCAGCGGCTCACGGCTGCGACATCAGTCACTCTCAATGGGAATTAACCTACTGAACCCCCCTTCTCCGTTTTAACGGAACCAGAAGATCCTAGTGCATTTGCTTCTTTTGATTTGTGCTCCGCCTTTCCACCAAAGGAACGGTGCTCGAGGCGGCTCAGTCAGGGGCGTTGCAAACTGGTGACTGGGAGGAGCGGAGCAGGGAGAAAAGTAACCCAGCTAGTGTGGAATAGGAAAGACCACCCAACTGCAGGGCAGAAACGGAGAAACTGCGGCTCGCAACGATACCATTTCCTGCGCAAAGAGAGAACTCCTTCGCTCCCAATGTTAAAGCTATTCTTTGAGCAGATAACGCGCTGAAAATCCTCAGCCGTTGCCCCTTGGCGCTGAAGAAATCGAAGCAAGACATTTACAACGGGCTGTAACTTATCTTGCATTCTACCTAACAGTGTCACCAGGCAGCAAATCGGTCCGTTGAATTTTTAAGATGATTTGGCCCTTGCATAAATAAACAGTCGATCTATACATTTCGGTTTCCTCTCAGCTCACCATCCTTAGTAGCTGGCCAATTTTCTCGAAAGACATTTTTCTCCCCCTATCATAGTACTAAAAACGGAAGTCATCCCATGAAGCTGATTGGTCGGAGCTTCAGGAGAGATGAAGAAATACTTCTCGCAGTACGTACTTCAGCCATGGATTTCACTTGTACCAGATGCAGCAATGGTCACCGATTTGGCCGGCTTCCAAAACTGAATAAATGTAAGGAGGAGAAGCTATCGACGGCTACTAGTCCTCCAATACCAGAGCCTGCATGAATATGTACCCCATTTCCAGGGGAACTTGGATGGGAGGGGTGGGTGCTGGTCCTACCTGTGGGTTTCCGAAGAAATGTTATAATACTAATATAATAATAATAATAGTTGGTTGGCCACTGGATAGACAGAATGCTGGAAAAGAACCCTCGGCCTGATCCAGCAGGACTCGTGTCTACTCAGAAGTAAGCACCTTATTCCCACGTTAAAACGTGTAAGAGTGGACTAGAACTGGCTTTAAAATAACGTAGCGCTTGCTCTGTGGGCGAGAATGAGGGTGGTTATTGAATCCTGTACATCCCGCAGAGGGGTTTGTGTGTGTGTGTGTAATGTGTGCGCGTGCGAGAGAGAGAGAGAGAGAGAGAGAGAGAGAGAGATTGAGCGCGCACGCCCACAGTTTAACCCTTTTGGAGCCACCACTCTCCAGCCTCCTACCCACTCCCCAGCCTTACATAGAAACCGAATGCTAAGGAAGACTTTCAAGTTATCTTCCAACAAAGCGATGACAGCTCCTAACAAATATAGTCTCCTCTTGTGCACTCGAGGGGAAATTCCATTTGCGGCCCTCTCCCGGAAGCAATGCGCCGCCGCCGCCCACGCCCACGCTTTTTCCTGCTTGCATCTGCGAGCGCCAAGGCGCATCGTCTGTGTGCCAACCTAGAGCCCTCATTCAAGCCTGGGCACCCCCTGTCGAAAGATCGCAGTAGCGGGTGATGGGAAAGACCTGCGGCCTGTTAATCAGCTTTCGGCCAGGGGAGAGGAAGTGCCGCGCTGCGTAGGCAAAATAGTCTAATCTGCTTCTTATTGTCCAGAGTCTTGCTCTGTCTCCCATACTATGACTGGGAGGGACTGAAATTGGGGAACCACAGATGTTTCCCCTCAACCTGACGTCCTGAGCTCTCGGATCACAACTCCTGCGAGCTTGGCTGCTATGCTGGCAGGGGATGCTGGGCGGTGTTGTACAAGAGCGCCTAGAGGGCAGCCCTCGAGTCTGGAGGGCATAGGAACTATTCTACTTCCTCCTTATACTCCCCCTTCTGCTCTAGGCAGGCAAATGGTTATTTTCTCTGCATCCACTTCTACGGAGCGAGGGAAAGAGGTCTGTTACTGGCATAAGGAAAGGGGAGCACTGTGTTCCAATTCTTGTCAAGCAGGTGGGGGATCCATAGGCACAAGATTGA